CTATTTCATATAGTATCGTTGTCTAGGGTCAAGCGTCCGATCTACAAAGAGTGTTTGTGTTGCAAAAACGTATCATTAGACGTTTTTTCTACTTATTTTATAGAACATCATGTAGAGACACCTTCAAAAGTAATAAAATTCTCACGGTGCCCTGTATTTGTTCATTAAAACTTTTGACTTACATTTTCAAGAACCTAAGCAGTTTCAGAAGGCATTGCGATATTCATATGTATGACACCAGAAACAAAAGAAATATCCTACCGAAGAAAATTTGTCACTCCATGCAAAAAAAAGCTCCAGTGACTACTGGAATTCGTCTATTTAACATTCTGCCTCTCGAATTGAGAGAGAGCAGAAGTCCAGATATCTTCAAACGCAAATTAAAGAAAGTATTGGCCGAAAGATGCTTTTTCTCCCTCCGTGAATTCGAACTTTTTTGTCGTTAGTGACTTTCAGAACTGACCTCATGTTTCTTCATATTATACTTTATCTTTGTGTGATTTTTCACAGGCGGTAAAGTATGCATCACTAAAATACCCGATTCAATTTCGGTTTTTGACTCGATGTTTCATAACATTCAAGAATATAATCTTTTTTTTAAACCACTATTTATGTATGTCATTTTATTTGTTTATTTGTATATATTCATCAGACACAATTTAATTTGTGAACTTGGACTAATTCGATCTATTTCTTGTTAATAGGATATGGATGCAATAAAATTCGAATTTGAATTTGAATTGTTTTAGTCTCAATATCAAACAACTTACTCAAAGACGCTCGTTTTATCGCATATTCAATTTTGATAGGTACTGAGGATACAGAGTAAAGCATGTTGTAGCTTGTCCTGACTTTTATAACTTGGAAACGTATCCTTTGCCTAACTGCTGTAGTAATTCAATTTTTTTTGTCTTTGATGAGACAAAATTTCAACTCCTTCATGTGAAAATCTGGAGAGAACATTCGAATTGAAAGTATTCACAATACCAGGAAAATAAAACAAATCAATTTCACCAAAAATTCGATTCGATTGAAAAAAATGTTATGTTGGAAGTAGACATCTTGATTACAAACGAATACGCAATTTTTTGAATGCACCACCATTTTGTAACAAGTGTGTGGAAAAATTCAGCTCCACATCAGAATGAAAGTTTTTTTCCAGAATGGCGCCAAGTTGATTGTTGGAAAAAATGGAGGTGCGACTCCGAAACAATTTATTCCACTCGATGAATATTCATCATTGAATAACATAATTAGTATTAACATAATAATTACATGACTCGAATGTATAATTAAAAATTGACACGATGAAAAAAAATCCATTTGCAACTTTTATTATGTGACATTTTATTTCCACTGAAGGTGATGAAGTGAAGGAAGGCGTGTCGTTTCTCATTTTCAATAGATGATTTTTATACGAAATGACATATCCACACCTAATGATTGAAAATTACCGACATTCATTTTTTTCATTTGGGAAAGTAAAGTATTGGTTCAAACTGTCATGAACAAATTATTGCGTAGAAATCAGGCCCATGCTGCTTGTTCATCAAGAGGACAAATCCAATCATCAAGAGACTTGAAATATGGCTTCTAAGTTAACAAAGAAATGTGCGTGGATTGATGCCTGTGATTATTTTTCTTTGGAATGAAACCCCTGCAAATAGAACACCAATTGTCAAGGTAAACGACTCACTATTAGTTAACTGGGGCGTACCCCAAGGACCTGTATTGGGACCTGTATCGATGTTTGATTTTTTGAAGTAAAGGGGCCCTTTTGCACATTGAATTATTATCAAGAAATATCAATAGGCAATTAAAGCTCAACACGACGCACAATTGAGGGACACACAGTAGGTTGTTGTACTCATCTATGTTGCAGTTTTCAATGAGATGTTCTAGTTGAATATATCATTTGATTTTGTACGCGAGGAACCTCAATTGTGTTTGAAGTATGGCAAGAAAATTTACTGGTTTATACTTTGGACGACGACAAGTTTTTCATAGGAGTGTACTGATTATTACAAAGTGATCAATGGGAACTGCCGGAAAATTAATTATTTATCAAAATACGACTTAAGTTGTGGTACAAACAGGCTGAAATCCATCGCAATTCACAATTTGCCAGTCAATTCCAGAAGAATAGTACATCTATGAAAATATATTATTTCAATATGCAACTGATCAATGAAATCCATTCGACTTAGGCACTCGTGGTTTTATCATGCTTGTTGCTCTCATTATTTTATTAAAAAAAGCATACTCCTTGGTTGTTTTGCAAATTATTACTGAATATCCCGTTAAGCGACGAATGAGGAATCTCGCTTCTATTAGGACGTTCGTCAACTCGTGACAGAGCTTTCATTCCGTCTTTCATCCCAATCGTTCAGCCTCAATTTGAGCGAGGATCACCTGAAGATATCCCGTCAAGTAACAATAATAATTATCTCACTACCAAACGAACTGTGAAACTGGGTTAGTGTAAAGCAAATAAACGTAATTTCCTCCATAATCTCTGAGCGCATTTGACATTGTCAGCAATTTGGAGCCGAGAAGTCCGTGAAGACTGGCAGATGAGAACAGTGCCGCACTGGCCATATCGTCGAGGTGGTGTTTGCTTGTCGAGTCCTACCCTGCTCGGACTTCGACGGTACCAAAACCATGGTGAAAATTTAAATAATGGTTAGTGCCAAGAGCACTGACAACATTTTTTCCAATGATTATTGAGCTCTTGACTTGGCAATTTTTACGAAGCGATCAATTAAATTGAGGTATACGATACGGTTTTTGTACAAGAAATAAAGCCTATTCAAATATATTGCGCCTTAAATATATTCAAAAGTTATTTTGCGAGAGTACCTTATAGAAAACATTTTATGGCAAAAATCAAGCACTACAGGAAAATTCTTAATTCGCTCAAAGAGCGGTGCCTGTGCGAAAGTAGCGATTCATATTGGATTTGAATCGCTGGAAATTAAATCTATTTGAAACAACGTTTTCAGGAAGTTCAATTCACATAAACACAGTTCTTCAAATGGAAGAGTTCTTAAACAGTGAAGTTCAAGGTGTACTGAGATGAACCCCAAATCAGCATTCAAAATATGTTTTAGAAATACATTTATTCTTATATGTTACAAGAAGTTATAGAAAATTTTTCATCGTGAGTTCTTATTTCTGTAATTTTGAGAAAGAAATATCAAGAGAAGATACTTGTTGGTTCACAGATGGATCAAAAACACCGTTCGGTTCCGGTGCAGACCCAGGACAGAGATATCAAGCTGCCGACGAACATATGCGAATGTATTTCAAGTGGAAATTCACGCTATTGAATTGTATGCGGAGGAAGAATCCAACCTCATAGACAAGTCAATAACAATATTCTCGGACAGTCAAGCGGCGTTGGAAGCTCTTGGCTCCTACCAAGCAACGTCTAAATTGGTAACAAATTTCCAAAAACGACTCTCCTTGGTAGGAAGACTTAACAGATTGTCTCTGGTCTAAATTTTTAACCATACTGGCCAGGAAGGCAATGAGGCTGCTGACTGCCTTGCAAAGGAGGGTGCTGCAAGCAGCTTCATCGGACCAGAACCTGCCATTGGCATCGCTTTAAGCTTTGCCAAACAAACATTGAACACCTGGATGGCAAGAAGATTTATGGACTTCCGGCAGAATCTTCCAGGACTGGCTCACTCCAAGGCCTTAGAAGCCTCACTCCACCCTTAGAAGCTTAATACTAAACAGTTGTTGGACTACAGTAGGGATGAACGACGTTGTCTAACAGGCCTTCTTACAGGTCACTGTCATTTGAATCATCATATGCAGAGACTCAGACTGGGCAGAGCCGCACTCTTACCATCTGACCTGAAAGACCACTCACCATACAAACTAATCAGCTTCGTTAAGAAGCTGGGTTTATTTGGTTGAGTGTGAATAGGTGTGATCCTCAAAAAATACTTGCGGGTTGCGGTGGAGGGTCAAATAGACCCGCTCACTTCGGTCCTAAACTAACCTAACTCTCTTCTATGACATCTAAGCCCAAAAATATGTATACTCAATTATTTTCGATTCCTATTTACCCTTATATCAGGCTTGCGGGGAACTACCCGACACCCGGGGGACCTATTCTTGAATCACTCGCATCAGTTTTGCGTATATGCAAATCGTTCGTGTGCGAGCAATTCCTTGAATCTGTATTCTTGAGTTCATGCTATAGAAATTAGCAGGCGTTCATACATATCAAATGTCAAATTATAATAAATTAGTGAGAATCAAATCGCAGATCTTCGAATAAGTTTAAGTTTCAAGAATACCAATTTCTCATGAATCATTGGCTGTGACGTCATCTGCCCATACGTTGCGACCGACAAGTAATTCAAGAATAGCCGTCCGAGCCCTTCCGGCTCAGTCCGTCTCTGGATACGAAGGCGTTTCGGTGCCCGAAGACGGTATTTTTCTCTTATTTCAGTTCACACGCCAGTTGCACATTTTATTTTAACAGATCCGCTCGGTTTAAAATTAGCATCGAGCCTCGAGGATTTCGAATTTCTTTGTGGTACATCCTCCCCTGTATCGGTTTATTACTGCTTGTGATCGAGGAAGAAGAAATACTTTCGATTCAGTTGAATGACGAGAATCCTTCGGGCGGCAGAAGATTATCAAGGATACTAGGAGTTTAATGGACGGTTACAAAACGTACAGAGTCTGCGAATAAAATATTGCCTTTTTGATTTGTTTGGATTTCCAAACTGTATATTCTCTTGAATTTAATAACAAAAGTATTCAATATAAGAGAAGCTAGCGTCGGAAGAAAAACTGAATTTCGAACATTTTCGAACAATTTCGAACATTCCTCGTTCATTTTGTGACACATGACGTCTCTGGTTTTCTTCGTAATCTACGTAATCAGAAATAGAAACCACTTTGTTGGATCCCAATTTTGGTTTTTGGGCTTGCTGGCCCCCTTCTAGTGGACTGTATACTATTGAATAATGCGACGTAGGTAATTAAGTAACACACTTTATTCTGTCACACCTTGTTTACAGATTTCACAGAATGTCGAATACGACAATTGGTTTGATCTGTTTAATTTGATGTGAGAAACACTATCATTAAGCTTATACAAATGAGAACCTTTGATATTCTCCACAATAATTAACACTTCTTATTTAACTAGACCTTTCTTACGTTATGGCAAGCTTTCGCTTCTAATGGGAAGATTCTTTAGGACCTATAATTTATTGAGTTGTGAATTGTTTTGCCATTGAATAACATTAGAAATCATACTTACAGTAAAAATGAGTGAAAAACACTGGATTGAACATATAAATTGATCAAGAAAGTTAAACATGTATATGATTTTTTTGGTTTGACAAATGTCATACCTTTACATAAATGTCATTTTTCAATGGGTATGATGATTTAAAATCTGTTTTTCCGTTAATTAGCTTGGCAAAGTAGAGCAGAGTTTTGATTTTGAGTCATTGCTTCGTTGAAGCCGTTGTTCATTAGGAAGACTTCAGAAATTATATTAACAAAATATTCAGTCATTGCAAAAGAAACATAATTATATAGGTTCAGTTGGAAGGATTATATCATTATCCCCATACGATGTATTAAAAACTCAAATAACTAAGGTTTGAAATCTACTTCGGTAAGAAGTTTCTTTGATGCAACTGGATTCCAAAAGTTTTGAATATGATTGTACTTTCTTCTCAGAATTGAGTCGCTCGTTTGCAGTCAATGGAATGAATCCAGAACTTATATAAAATTAAATAATGGTATGATCTGAAAACTGTAATGAAGATATTCATTATAGAAGTTGAGAAAGTTAGAAATAATTTTAGTAAAGGATTAGAGTACCTTAACATTTGATAATATAACATTATGAAATTAATAAAAATATACCCATTTTCAGTCATATAAAATCATTTTCATTATTATAGAGTTAATTTTTTTATATAAAACTTGTCATATCGATCATATCATCATGTATAATATTTTATCGAACATTTGTGTGTGCTGTATCTCGAGATCAAAATGGTAGAAATTTTTGAAACTTACAGAAATCATTGATTTCAAAATGAAACAATGTTATTAAAGAAAATAGAAGCTTCAGATTTTAACACATCCCAACATACCGCAATAAAATTGGTTTATGTTTTTTTCTTCACAAGAATGTCTTCGACTGGAATTTCTTTTACTGGTACTGAAAGAACCGGTGATGTCATAATACTTCTTTTTAAATTCGCTGCTGCATATTTTTCGTCATATCATTCATGCACATACCCTGAGAGACTATTGGTAGAGTTATCTAAAGTCGGTATTGCTTTTGTATGATTTTTATTTGAAATAAAGTCTTACCAAACGTTCAGATATTGAGGGCAAATATAGCAAATGGGCCTTCCGGCATGTATTCACAATGCAATTAATATAAAAGGATTAAAGGCTGATAGGCAAACACGACGAGAAAGCGATTTTATTTTTTCATCGAAACTGCTGGTTAAATAAAGGTGAAAACGTGATTCGGTTCGTTTCTATTTTCTGTTTTCCCTATGAAGATGGTTCGATTATTGATAGATATTGAAATGAGTTTGATTCGTTATATAAAACTATTAGTCATGAATCAGTTGAGATACAATTCACTCAGTGAAGCTTTGTATGAGAATGGTTTACTTGTATCGTTTTTGTATCCTTCAGGAGATATTCTACATAGAATTTGTTCTTTAAAAATCCACGTTGATCTTAAAGTGATTTGGTGTATGTCCATTCACGGTGAAACATGTATACTATGCTGTATATCATAAGAAAGGAATGAATTGAAGATATTGATGAAATATACCTGGTCACTTGTATATTCATTCAGAATGGAATTGCCTTTTGGGGCTTTTGTAGTCAACAACTACTAAATTCAGTATTCGTTCTACGAAAAAGGGCTGTCAGATACATATGTAGGGCAAAATCACAAGACCACTGCAAGCCACTTTTCATCAGTCAGAAAATTCTTACTGTACCTTGTTTATTCTTGTTAGAAACCGTTTGCTTAATTCACAAAAAATATTCCAACTCAGCAGTAAATAATGACAGACGTTACCACACGAAAGGAAGTCGGAATTTACCCTTGCCAATCCCAAAATCAGCAATTACAAAATATTCTTTGATATATGAGACCAAGGAAATATACAACCACTCCCTTTCATTTATAGTCACTTTTTAAATGATTTCTATAAAGTCTTGGAAGAGGAGAAGGATTGTAGCTCTTTCTCTTCAATACTTTCACCCATTTTTTTCTCATCATTTTATTCTTTGAGAACCTAAACTCATCTATAAACCAATGCGCTTTCTGTTTTCTTGTGCCTTTCCGCACAATTAAAATCAGCACAAGAATGCACCATATTAATATTCAAATATATCTCTAAAACACTTTTAAAACACACACAAACTAAACTAAAATAAATCAATTATGCATTCATGCTACTCACCAAAAATAAGAAATTCAACGTTAGTGGTATATTAGCCATAGTGTCATCCAGTCAGCCAGCGCCCTCTGTAGTGAATGCGACAATGTGCTCTTTCTAATGTCAACGGTTTCCACAAACTTCGTATTTTTGTTAAAATAATTTCAAAAAGCATGTTGAGCCTAGTTTTGTTTAATCTGACTCCCGACAACTTACCAAGAGTCGATTTTGAAATGATCGATTAATTTTACTTGAAAAAAAACGGCTGGTGATGGTATATTTGGTAGGTCCCTTTTATTTATATGACATTCATTTCAGACTTTGTATTTTATCGAAGGATGGAAAGTTTTGATTTAATTTTTATTTAATCTCGGCCAAGGAGCAGTATGGTGACTCAAAAAAGAAGCAAAAGTATGTACAGTGAAATGTAGAATTACTCCAGAATATATCTGTCCAAAAATGACCTGAAAAAATATTTTGCGGAATGTAAACTAATGACACGGATATGCAGCAGAATAGGCACCCGCCGAAATCTACCTTTTACAAAAAAACGTTCTTCAATTAGATAATTGTAACAGTTGTATTCAACCGAGTTGACAACAATAACAACAAAAATGGCGTCTGTCAAATTGGATCATCAGATCTGTGTTTGGATATTAAAAACCAATACATTTGGCAACTCCGCTCTAGACACGATCAATTTTATTGGTCAACACACATGCAGCCAATTTAAATTCTTGCTTTTCGAATCATTCTTTTTTCTGCAAATATAAATAGATTCTGGGACCCATTAGGCTTGATAAGTATAATATACCCCAAACTCGATCAGTCTATAAGCAAACCGGTATCATTTTCCATAGCATGAAACAAGCCCATTGTCAAACTGCGGAAGTCCCTGTTGGAAGACCTATACAATTATTTCCAACTAACTTTTAATAAAAATTTGGCGTCGTTTCCATATCTGTCAGGTACAAAATTTGCAAATTATGTAAAGGTGAAGTAACAAAATATTCTATGAAATGCTGCTTCATAATCGTTGAACTGTATAATAAAGTACTTTTCACAAAGTAATCGCACTCCCTCAGGGCTCACTTCATATTCCAATGCCAGGAAATGAGAAATATCTATCTCGATAATTGTTCTTTCTACGGAAACATAATTCTACTTTCTTTAATTCTCAATCTTAAATTTCATCAAAACGATTTTTAATTCCCTCTTGAAATCCTTTCTCGCAAATATTCAATTCCCATTCTTTTTCTGCTCCGATTGTCTGACAAGCACTTGAGGAGAGGTCGTTTCTTTTGATTGAAAGCAACTATTTAATTACATGCCTGCCCACCTGTCGATAAAGACGGTCTTAAAAGAACAATACCACCTATTTCAAGTCAAATTACGTTCTCTTCGTTCATAATGATACCTTTTGTGTATTCACCTCCGAAGAAAGGGGTACAAAAAGTGAAAACTGGAGAACAGGGATCGAATAAAAAGGTGAAAAAGTTGTGAGATATTTTGCACTTTACAAAGGCAGAAGTCGATTGACTTCATATCGGATGAGGATTTCGTTTGGGGCACATGTATTTTTTCTAAATTGGCTACTTTGTGCATTTGTCATCATTAGTGTTAGTTGTCATATGTATCAGGTTGTTTCAAAAATATTACTGGAGTTTTTTCCCGACATCAAACCGTTATTTTAACACATCGACACGTGTTTCAATCACCAAGTGATCATCTTCAAGATTAAACAGTTTAATTTTCCTCTTGAAGATGATCACTTGGTGATCGAAACACGTGTCGAGGTGTTAAAATAACGGTTTTTGCAATAAATGTAGACCTGAAATGAAAATACCGATTATTCATTCAGAGAATGGCTCAGTGATAAAAAATACTTTGGAAATTTGCATGAGTACTATGCAAATCTTGGTCAAGAATATGCCTTTAAAATTAAAGAATCGGCTAATTACAATTACAATGAACAAAGATTACAGAATTTAATATATCTATCAGAAACTAATGAAGAGGAGGTTTACAAAGTTATTATGGAATTAAAACAGAAGAAATCTCCAGGTCATGATGAAATTCGCTCAGAAACGCTCAAATTGATTGTCAATGAAATTAAAACGTCATTAACTCACCTAATCAACAAATATTTACAGGGCGGCTGCTTTCCCAAAATATTCAAAATTAGAATAATAAAACCACTTTTCAAAAGTGGAGACAAAACAATAGTGAGTAACTATAGACCTGTATCACTGATCTCAAACATAGCCAAAGTAATAGAGAAAATTATAAAAATAAGATTAGTGAATTTTACTAGGAAATTCAAATTGATATCTGATCAGCAATATGGATTCAGGGAGGGAAGATCAACGGAAGATGCAATACAAAATCTAACTACTTGTATTTGCGAAGCTCTTGACAAAAAAATTCCAGCAATGTGCATTGTGATTTATCCAAAGCTTTTGATACCGTCAATCATACAAAACTCCTGAGAAAATTAGAGAACTGCGGAATACGTGGGAAAGCTTACGACATTTTCGAAAGCTATCTATGTGACCGAGAACAGAGAGTTAGTATCGATGGAATTATGAGTTATCCCAAAATTGTTATTTATGGTGTTCCGCAAAGAACGGTTCTAGAACCAATCCTGTTTACAATATATTTGAATGAACTATTGCAGATACCAACAAAAGGTAAAATATTGAGCTTTGCTGACGATACGGCTGTCTTGTATACCGACTCTTCATGGAACCAACTGAAAATGTCTGCAGAAAAATATTTCATTGAGATCAAAAAATGGTTCTGTTACAATAAACTTACGATCAATTTCGACAAAAAAAAATATTTGCCTTTCACATCATACTGCAGTACAT